CGATACTGAATCCGTGATGCCGATACTGAATCCGTGATGCCGATACTGAATCCGTGATACCGATACTGAATCCGTGATGCCGATACTTAATCCGTGATACCGATACTGAATCCGTGATACTGAATCCGTGATACTGAATCCGTGATACCGATACTGAATCCGTGATACCGATACTGAATCCGTGATACCGATACTGAATCCGTGATGCCGATACTGAATCCATGATACCGATACTGAATCCGTGATACCGATACTGAATCCGTGATACCGATACTGAATCCGTGATACCGATACTGAATCCGTGATACTGAATCCGTGATACTGAATCCGTGATACTCTGATACTGAATCCGTGATGCCGATACTTGATCCGTGATACCGATACTGAATCCGTGATGCCGATACTTAATTGATGCCGAATCCGTGATGCCGATACTGAATCCGTGATACCGATACTGAATCCGTGATACCGATACTGAATCCGTGATACCGATACTGAATCCGTGATACCGATACTGAATCCGTGATACCGATACTGAATCCGTGATGCCGATACTTAATCTGTGATGCCGATACTGATTCCATGATACCGATACTGAATCCGTGATACCGATACTGAATCCGTGATACCGATACTGAATCCGTGATACTGAATCCGTGATACTGATACTGAATCCGTGATGCCGATACTTGATCCGTGATACCGATACTGAATCCGTGATGCCGATACTTAATCCGTGATGCCGATACTGAATCCGTGATACCGATACTGAATCCGTGATACCGATACTGAATCCGTGATACCGATACTGAATCCGTGATACTGATACTTAATCCGTGATACCGATACTGAATCCGTGATACCGATACTGAATCCGTGATGCCGATACTGAATCCGTGATGCCGATACTGAATCCGTGATGCCGATACTGAATCCATGATACCGATACTGAATCCGTGATACCGATACTGAATCCGTGATACTGAATCCGTGATACTGAATCCGTGATACCGATACTGAATCCGTGATGCCGATACTTGATCCGTGATGCCGATACTTGATCCGTGATGCCGATACTTGATCCGTGATGCCGATACTTGATCCGTGATACCGATACTGAATCCGTGATGCCGATACTGAATCCGTGATGCCGATACTTGATCCGTGATACCGATACTGAATCCGTGATGCCGATACTGAATCCGTGATGCCGATACTGAATCCGTGATGCCGATACTGAATCCGTGATGCCGATACTTGATCCGTGATACCGATACTGAATCCGTGATGCCGATACTTAATCCGTGATGCCGATACTGAATCCGTGATACCGATACTGAATCCGTGATGCCGATACTGAATCCGTGATGCCGATACTGAATCCGTGATGCCGATACTGAATCCGTGATGCCGATACCGAATCCGTGATGCCGATACCGAATCCGTGATGCCGATACCGAATCCGTGATGCCGATACCGAATCCGTGATGCCGATACCGAATCCGTGATGCCGATACCGAATCCGTGATGCCGATACCGAATCCGTGATGCCGATACCGAATCCGTGATACCGATACTTAATCCGTGATGCCGATACTGAATCCGTGATACCGATACTGAATCCGTGATACCGATACTGAATCCGTGATACCGATACTGAATCCGTGATACCGATACCGAATCCGTGATACCGATACTGAATCCGTGATACCGATACTTAATCCGTGATGCCGTTACTGAATCCGTGATACCGATACTGAATCCGTGATACCGATACTGAATCCGTGATACCGATACTGAATCCGTGATACCGATACTGAATCCGTGATACCGATACTTAATACGTGATGCCGATACTGAATCCGTGATGCCGATACTGAATCCGTGATACCGATACTGAAACCGTGATACCGATACTGAATCCGTGATACCGATACTGAATCCGTGATACCGATACTGAATCCGTGATACTATACCGGATCTTAGTCAAAAGACCAAGAAGAGAAGACCAGAAAAAGATAAGAACACAGCCCAAACTTATGATTTATCTCCTTACCTGAGATATGAGCCAGTCCACAAGCTTACTGGCTGGGATGACGGACTTGTAGGTCTTCAGGTGGTAGTCACGGTCTCTGGAGGGAGAGGAAACAAAGATGCATTAAATAATATCAGCAGAAGCTTCCAATAATTTTCGTCATAGGAACAAACTCTTCATCCTCCATTAGGGTACATGCAGAACAGCCAGCACTCCACAGTTCTCATTACTAGGGTGACAATACCACCGAGAATGTAAATGTGTCTATTGACATGACATGGCGAATCAGAGAAAGCTGCTATATGTACAGATAACTCGTGCAATTCCACAACTAGAAAGAGGACCTGTCAGCATAACAACACTGTCTCTGCCAAGTGGTGTTGGTCCTGGAACTATGCAAAGGCCATCAGATGGGAGGTCAATCAGCCACAGTTCGAGGAACTTTTAGTAACCTCTGAAGGAACCCTTCAGAATGGGAATGTCTATAGCATGGAGAGCTCTCTCCTACATCTACTCCCCTTTATTTACTCCAAACGCTTTATGGAGCTGTCCTGGAATTATACAGGCACCATCAGATTGGAGGTCAAACAGCCACAGCTCAAGCAATGTCAGGTAACATCTGAAGGAACTCTTCAAAATGAGAATGTCTACTATTCACCACTGAGGCCACCACTGAGGGATTCTCATCCCCTCATCTGAGTGCACATTCATATCAAGATCCTTCTCTGGGAAGGTGGTGTTCAGATCTGGCAGACTGTAGGTGACATGAAAGGGTTAAACCCAGTGTACCAAGATCCTTCACCGAAAGGGTGGTGTCCAGATCAGGCATGTCTGTAGGTAACAAGAAAGAGTTAAACCCAGCATACCAAGATTCCTCACCAGGAGGGTGGTGTCCAGATCTGGCATATCCATAGACAATACGAAAGGGTTAAACCCAGTGTACCAAGATCCTTCACCAAGAGGGTGGTGTCCAGATCTGCCACGTCTGTAGGTAACATGAAAGCATTAACCCAATGTACCAAGATCCTTCACCGAAACGGTGGTGCCCGGATCAGGCATGTCTGTAGGTAACATGAAAGGGTTAAACCCAATGTACCAAGATCCTTCACCGAAAGGGTGGTGCCCGGATCAGGCATGTCTGTAGGTAATGTTAAAGAGTTAAACCCAGCATACCAAGATCCTTTTCCGGGAAGGTGGTGTCCAGATCTGGAATGTCTGTAGGTAACATGAAAGGGTTAAACCCAGTGCACCAAGATGCTTCAATGGGAAGATGGTGTCCAGATCCAGAATGTCTGTAGGTAACATAAAAGGGTTAAGCCTAATGTACCAAGATCCTTCACCAGGTAGGTGGTATCCAGATCTGACATGTCTTTAGGTAACATAAAGGTTAAACCCTGCGTACCAAGATCCTTCACCAGGAAGGTGGTGTCCGGATCTGGCATGTCTGTAGGTAACATGAAAGGGTTAAAGCCAATGTACCAAGATCCTTCACCGAAAGGGTGGTGTCCGGATCTGGCATTTCTGTAGGTAACATGAAAGGGTTAAACCCAGTGTACCAAGATTCTTCAATGTCAAGGTGGTGTCCAGATCTGGCATGTCTGTAGGTAATGTGAAAGAGTTAAACCCAGCATACCAAGATCCTTTTCCGGGAAGATGGTGTTCAGATCCGGAATGTCTGTAGGTAACATAAAAGGGTTAAGCCTAATGTACCAAGATCCTTCACCAGGTAGGTGGTATCCAGATCTGACATGTCTGTAGGTAACATAAAGGTTAAACCCTGCGTACCAAGATCCTTCTCCGGAAAGGTGGTGTCCAGATCCCCCCAATGTCTGTAGGTAATGTGAAAGAGTTAAACCCAGCATACCAAGATCCTTCACCAGGAAGGTGGTGTGAAGATCTGGGATGTCTCTAGGTAACATGAAGTGGTTAAGCCCAGCTATTCTCATCCTGTAGTAAGATGCTATTTCTGTACCATCAGCAGGAGGACCTGTTAATGGAAGATTCTTATTAATTACTCCACTTCAGAGGTGAGAAAATTCTCAGTGTAATTATCTCCCAGTAATAGAACATCCCCCATCTCTTTCCTGAAAAGAGGATGCAACCATTGTTAACACTTTTCATTGCCAGTACAAAAGAAGAGAAACTCTGCGACAAAAGGCCAACAAAATGCACAATTAATCCATGGTGGTGACACAAGAAGATCAATCTTCCACTTTTTCTCCCCAAAAACACCAACCACCCCGGGGCGTGTCATGATTACCTGAAGTGTATTTCCTTTGTTTCCATAAACTCCCATCAAAAAGGGAGAAGGAAAAGACCCAGGAGGCCCCGTGAGAGATCATTATGGTGTAGAAACTGGGAAAGATGACTAGATACAATGCTGCAGATGATAGTTATAATATAATAAATAATAATAATAATGAAGATTGTTCCACTTGAGAGGTTGCTGAACCCCTCTGTAGAGCTCAGACTATCTGGAGGCTCAGCAAGCGGAGAATAAGGCAATCTCCATGCAGGCATAGTCGCTCTCTACAATGGGTAACCCAGAAAATCCTATCAACAGCACTCTGGGGATCCCTTTTCATCAATGAGTTTGCATTCACTTGCAATGCCTTTGAACTTGCTAGAGCACTTGACTACTCCAGGAAGAGTGAGTTCCCTAGCGCAGCTCCCTCCCTCCTTGTGAACCAAAGCCCTCCTTTTCTTCTGGGAATATCTAATAATGGTCTGTGCTGACCTATCTCCTCCACCTCCTTCCCTCACCTCACTACATAACCCTTCATGGAGCTGCCAGGCGGAAAGTGAAGGAAAATAGTATAGAGCAGCATTTCCTCTAACAGAAACCTTTTAAAAATTTCCAGTTCTCGGGGAACCATGGTTAAAAACAATTCACAGAGAGTCAGGGGGAAAAATGTCCCTTACATTGGGTGCCAGTGGGAAGAATGTCCCTTATATTGGTGGTCAGTGGGAAGAATGTCCCTTACATTGGGGGTCAGTGGGAAGAATGTCCCTTACATTGGTGGGTCAGTGGGAAGAATGTCCCTTACATTGGTGGTCAGTGGGAAGAATGTCCCTTACATTGGGTGCCAGTGGGAAGATTGTCCCTTATATTGGGGGTCAGTGGGAAGAATGTCCCTTACATTGGGGTCAGTGGGAAGAATGTCCCTTACATTGGTGATCAGTGGGAAGAATGTCCCTTACATTGGGGATCAGTGGGAAGAATGTCCCTTACATTGGGGATCAGTGGGAAGAATGTCCCTTACATTGGGGTCAGTGGGAAGAATGTCCCTTACAGAAGAATGTCCCTTACATTGGGGTCAGTGGGAAGAATGTCCCTTACATTGGTGATCAGTGGGAAGAATGTCCCTTACATTGGTGGTCAGTGGGAAGAATGTCCCTTACATTGGTGGTCAGTGGGAAGAATGTCCCTTACATTGGGGTCAGTGGGAAGAATGTCCCTTACATTGGGGGTCAGTGGGAAGAATGTCCCTTACATTGGGGTCAGTGGGAAGAATGTCCCTTACATTGGGGTCAGTGGGAAGAATGTCCCTTACATTGGGGTCAGTGGGAAGAATGTCCCTTACATTGGTGGTCAGTGGGAAGAATGTCCCTTACATTGGTGGTCAGTGGGAAGAATGTCCCTTACATTGGGGTCAGTGGGAAGAATGTCCCTTACATTGGTGGTCAGTGGGAAGAATGTCCTTACATTGGGTCAGTGGGAAGAATGTCCCTTACATTGGTGGTTGGGAAGAATGTCTCCTTACATTGGTGGTCAGTGGGAAGAATGTCCCTTACATTGGGGGTCAGTGGGAAGAATGTCCCTTACATTGGGGTCAGTGGGAAGAATGTCCCTTACATTGGGGTCAGTGGGAAGAATGTCCCTTCATTGGGGGTCAGTGGGAAGAATGTCCCTTACATTGGGGTCAGTGGGAAGAATGTCCCTTACATTGGGGGTCAGTGGGAAGAATGTCCCTTACATTGGTGGGGTGGTCAGTGGGAAGAATGTCCCTTACATTGGTGATCAGTGGGAAGAATGTCCCTTACATTGGGGGTCAGTGGGAAGAATGTCCCTTACATTTGGTGGGAAGGTCAGTGGGGTCAAAGAATGTCCCTTACATTGGTGGTCAGTGGGAAGAATGTCCCTTACATTGGTGGTCAGTGGGAAGAATGTCCCTTACATTGGTGGTCAGTGGGAAGAATGTCCCTTACATTGGGGGTCAGTGGGAAGAATGTCCCTTACATTGGTGGTCAGTGGGAAGAATGTCCCTTACATTGGTGATCAGTGGGAAGAATGTCCCTTACATTGGGGTCAGTGGAAGAATGTCCCTTACATTGGGTCAGTGGGAAGAATGTCCCTTACATTGGTGGTCAGTGGGAAGAATGTCCCTTACATTGGTGGTCAGTGGGAAGAATGTCCCTTACATTGGGGTCAGTGGGAAGAATGTCCCTTACATTGGGGGTCAGTGGGAAGAATGTCCCTTACATTGGTGATCAGTGGGAAGAATGTCCCTTACATTTCAGTGGGGAATGTCCCTTACATTGGAGGTCAGTGGGAAGAATGTCCCTTACATTGGTGGTCAGTGGGAAGAATGTCCCTTACATTGGGAGGTCAGTGGGAAGAATGTCCCTTACATTGGGGGTCAGTGGGAAGAATATCCCTTACATTGGTGGTCAGTGGGAAGAATGTCCCTTACATTGGGGTCAGTGGGAAGAATGTCCCTTACATGGGGTTCAGTGGGAAGAATGTCCCTTACATTGGTGGTCAGTGGGAAGAATGTCCCTTACATTGGTGGTCAGTGGGAAGAATGTCCCTTACATTGGTGGTCAGTGGGAAGAATGTACATTGGTGATCCCTTACATTGGGGGTCAGTGGGAAGAATGTCCCTTGCATTGGTGGTCAGTGGGAAGAATGTCCCTTACATTGGTGGTCAGTGGGAAGAATGTCCCTTACATTGGTGGTCAGTGGGAAGAATGTCCCTTACATTGGTGATCAGTGGAAGAAGAATGTCCCAGTACATTGGTGGTCAGTGGGAAGAATATCCCTTACATTGGGGGAAGTGGGAAGAATCCCTTACATCAGTGGGAAGAATGTCCCTTACATTGGTGGATCAGTGGGAAGAATGTCCCTTACATTGGGGGTCAGTGGGAAGAATGTCCCTTACATTGGGGGTCAGTGGGAAGAATGTCCCTTACATTGGTGGTCAGTGGGAAGAATGTCCCTTACATTGGTGGTCAGTGGGAAGAATATCCCTTACATTGGTGGTCAGTAGGAAGAATGTCCCTTACATTGGGGGTCAGTGGGAAGAATGTCCCTTACATTGGGGTCAGTGGGAAGAATGTCCCTTACATTGGGGGTCAGTGGGAAGAATGTCCCTTACATTGGTGGTCAGTGGGAAGAATATCCCTTACATTGGTGGTCAGTAGGAAGAATGTCCCTTACATTGGTGATCAGTGGGAAGAATATCCCTTACATTGGTGGTCAGTAGGAAGAATGTCCCTTACATTGGGGGTCAGTGGGAAGAATGTCCCTTACATTGGGGGTCAGTGGGAAGAATGTCCCTTACATTGGGGGTCAGTGGGAAGAATGTCCCTTACATTGGTGGTCAGTGGGAAGAATGTCCCTTGCATTGGTGGTCAGTGGGAAGAATGTCCCTTACATTGGTGGTCAGTGGGAAGAATGTCCTTACATTGGTGGTCAGTGGGAAGAGTGTTCCTTACATTGGTGGTCAGTGGGAAGAATGTCACTTACATTGGTGGTCCGAATACCACCCTAGCAGAAAGCGAAGATTATTGGTGTCATGCAGCTGGCTCTGCCAAGCCGTATTGAGCCTAGGGGCTATGCCGGCACCATCAAATGGGAGATCATCCAGCCACAACTCAAGGAACTCCAGAAAACCCCTGAGTCTAGAGGAACCTCAGGTCCCATGAAACCCTGGTGGAGAATAGCTGGTATAGAGTGTCAATTGAGTGACAGCTTTTGGGCTGCTGACTTCACATCCAAGATGGCAGCACCCAATGTGCAATAAATAACGAAATGCCCAGATAATTCAATGGGAAGGTTTTGGTTGAAAGTAATGGTTAAAACAACACACGAATGAGAAGGAAGACAGAAACGTCTGCAGATACTGGACAGAAATGTGTGGTCCTGAAAGATCAAAGAACAGGATGTTTATAAGTTATCTGAAGACATAAAATGTTCTATAGTGATGATTGGGGACCCCTTCCCAAATATTCCTCCTACCAATAACGAGTTCACAAAGAAGGGCCTGAGATTCAGGAAGACTAATGCAGGTGGCAGATCAGTTTGGGATATGCCGGTACATGGCTCTCATAGCCGCCCCCACACAGCGCTGCGCCAGGCTTACAATCCTCTAACACAATACCGGATGACGGAGATCCACATTATCTGATGGGCTTCACCCCAAGGTGGTTTAATCCCAGAACTCCCTGGCCGTGCTCATGTAAACAGAATGGGAGAAGCTGCCGGATCATGTTTTTGTGGGATGGAAGGATTGCCTGAGTCATCATCAAACACTGGCACCTCTGGTTGCACCAACACTGGAATTCTGCTTCTAAAGCAAAAGTGTTCCGGGGCCAAACCTCAGACAGACGCCACCTTGTTCACACTGCCGGACCTGGGACTGAATGGAAAAATGAGCTGGCAGGGCTCAGGATGCAAAAGGGAACTCCTCACTACGCAAATATCTTCTTCTTGGATTACCATAAAATGTTCTCCACCCCAACTACAGAACCAGGTACATCATATACACAACAGATATGTTCCCAGCACATGGGACAAATGGCATCAGGCTGCGAAATATATACGAATGAGGCTACTGGTCCATGCCAGTCATAGCTGCCAACATGTGAACCATTCCCAGACACTGGGTGGAAATGTACATATCCCGTACCATACCGCCAAGGAGGTCAGGCAACATGTACCACCAATCAGGACTATTACCAGATCACATACGGAATTTTTTACATTTTAAAGGCATCCTGACAGTAATACAGATCCTGCAATTCACTGACAGATGATGGGGAAGGAAATGTGCAGAGCAACCAAGACTCTATGGTACTAGAGGATAGCAGGTCATTTCAAGGGACAAAACCAGGGCCAATTCCATGGACACAATGAGGCCCACTTCCAAGGAGAGAAGCGGGGTAATTTCCAAGGTGAAAACTAGGGGTACTTCCATGGGAAGAACCAGGGCCATTTCCATGGACAGAGCAGGACCAGGGTCATTTCCATAGACAGAAGGGAATTTCTGTGGACAGAACTATGGCATTTCATTGGACAGGACCAGCACCACTTCCATAGATGGGACCAGGACCACATCCATGGACAGAACCAGGGCCATTTTATCGACATAACCAGGGCCATATCGACATAACCAGGGCCATTTCCATGGACAGAGCAGGACCAGGGTCATGGATATTAGAAAAAGATTAACTTAAGGGACAAAACCAGGGCCTTTTCCATGGACATAACCGGGACAAAACCAGGGTAATCTTCATGGATAGAACCAAGGCCACTTCCATTGAAGAAAGCAGGGCCACTTCCATGGACAGAACCAGGGCCACTTCCATAACAGAACCAGGGCTATTTTCATGAACAAGACCAGGACCACTTCCATGGACAGAACCAGGGCTATTTCCATGGACAGAACCAGGGCTATTTCCATGGACAGAACCAGGGCTATTTCCATGGACAGTACCAGGGCTATTTCCATGGACAGTACCAGGGCTATTTCCATGGACAGTACCAGGGCTATTTCCATGGACAGTACCAGGGCTATTTCCATGGACAGAACCAGGGCTATTTCCATGGACAGTACCAGGGCTATTTCCATGGACAGTACCAGGGCTATTTCCATGGACAGTACCAGGGCTATTTCCATGGACAGAATCAGGGCTATTTCCATGGACAGAACCAGGGCTATTTCCATGGACAGAACCAGAACTATTTCCATGGACAGAACCAGGGCTATTTACATGGACAGAACCAGGGCTATTTACATGGACAGAACCAGGGCTATTTCCATGGACAGAGCAGGACCAGGGTAATTTCCATAGATATTAGAAATAGGTTAATTTAAGGGACAAAGCCAGGGTACTTTCCATGGACAGAACCAGGGTCTTTTCCATGGACATAACCGGAACAGAATCAGGGCCATTTCCATGGACATAACCAGGACAGAACCAGGGCCATTTTCATGCACATTAGACCCAGGTTCATTTCAGAGACAGAACCAGTACCATTTCCATGGACAAAACAGGGACTATCTTCAAGAGCAGAACCAGAGTCATTTCTACAGACAGGCAATTTCCAGGGAGAGAACCAGAGCCATAGCCATGAAAAATAAAAACAGGTCCTTTTTCAGAGACAGAATCAGGGTACTTTCCATGAACAGAACCAGGTCCATTTGAATGAAAAGAACTGGGGACAAAGCAGAGGACTACAGCAGGAATATATTGGTGATATCTACAACCTTGGTGAGGTTCTTCAGGTTGGAGTCCACTGACTTTGTTAGGAAGGGAAAATATTTAATCATACTTTACAAATGATGGCAAGAAGCCACACACGGATCTGGGCAGAATGGGGTCCTAAGTAAAGTAACAGCTTTGGCCCCCCAGCCCTTCAATTGACAATTGACTTGAAACAGACACATAGAAGTGGCCCCATCAGCATCATCTGTATTGGCCCTATCAGACATCAACTGCCTCCAATACATCCTCTCTTGTAGGAAGACAGCTTTCACCATTTGCCCTATCTGGTTTTCTGCAGGACAAAGGTTGTAGCTGGGGTCCCTAGGACAACCAATTGGGCCCTAGAAGTTCCCTATAACCAGGAATTTCTTTTAAGGGTTCCTCTGGGGTAAAAAGGTTGAGAAGTGCTGCTTTATAGACACCGTGCCTGTGGGGGAACTCCGGAGCTGTTATTATGTATATGAGGCAGACAACAAGAACGAGTTAATAGAGGGGAACTCAAACAGGGAGAAGATTTATAGCGGAGAACAGAACATGAAAAGAACAGGAGGGGACGAAGAATTCACAGGGGGAGATCTGGCCGCTCCTCTGGGTTTAGTGGAGGTCCGGGGTGAGGCCGTCCATCTCTGGCCCTGTCCACCCTCTTTTAGTGAGGACAATAATCAATGAATGATGGAAGTCTATTCATTTATACAACTCTGAGAACATAAACAGTATGGGACTCATAATAGAAACACCCAGAGCTGAGGGCCAGAGGAGCCGGTATCAGAAGGAACCTCCACTTTTCAGTCTTCATTCTCTGGGGGTGTCAGTCTTATATTCAGGAGGAGCATTTTACATTTAAAGTAGAACTCAAAGGCAGTGCATTAGATCTGCAGCATAACCAGCTCACACACAGCTGCACATTTTTGTATTTTTTTTGTAGAGGAAATAATCACTAATAATCGCTAACTATAGATGTAATGTGTGTCTCTAGTGACACCACAATAAAAGAGCAGCAAATCTACCATTTCTGGTGTCACCACTCCTGTGCAACTAGACTGCTGAGGATTGTGGTTGGTTACAATGGACTCCTCCAGTGAGGTCACCAAGTATTTGCTGCAAGGACTCCGTCTGGCAAACAAATACACCTCACATGGCTGTGAAGTCTACATCTGCACCTGATGGTGCCACCAGATATTGTATCAGTCAATGCAAGGTCACAGCGCTCCGAATAAAAATTTCACTGGTTTATTGTGGAAAAAATGTCATATAAGTCAAAGACGGCCTTGTAGTGATCCTTCATCAAAGTCAACATGGTTGTCACTATGACGCCTTGAGGACTATGTCAACCTGTGGACTTTAACACCTTGAGGACTATATCAATATGTGGACTATGTAGTCTTGAGGACTATGTTGCCTTTATGATTATGTCACCTTGAGGACTATGTCAGCCTTTGGACTTTATCACCTTGAGGACTATATCAATATGTGGACTAT